CGTAACGTGGTTGAAGACTCGCGTTCAAGGTTGGCCGGGGAACTTTTCGCCATCTGATCATCAGCGGATAATTGCTGATGAAGAAAATGTCAAACGCGACGTTCAAGGGGAGTCACAGAGACTGAGAGTTTCGAGAGATACAGAAATGTCTCGAGATTTTCTTAGTACAGATATACTTGAGGGGATGTATATATAATTAAAATATTTCATATATTATGAAATTAGAGAAGAAACTAGAAAAAAGTCTTTGAAGAAAGGTTGGAAAGAGCGGATATATAATCTGCTTAGATTTTGTTCCACTTGTGGATTCGCTTATTAGAAACAATACATTTCTAAGTCGAGAATCTGCATAGATATCTCAAATAAAATTATAGTTTGTTTATGAAATCGAACCTATTAGAAATTTTCTCCATGGAAATTACAATCACACGTACGTACGAACGAAACACATCTTATTTTTTTCGATTCTATAGTTGACGGAGGGATAGCTGATGTAAGATCCATATTCGAAACAGCGGTTGAATCGAATCGCGTTATGCTTTCCTGGAAATTACTACGCCATATTATGAGCGCACATATTTGCTTTCTGTGCGAGAAGCACGATAGGGAGCGTCAACAGAATAGTGACGTCGCAAGTGAGTGTCAGTAAGCGATAATAGCTATTTATTGGATCTCTTCTTTCCACAACAGAAACATTAATCAAACCGAGCGGCCGCATTATGTTTTATGAAATCATCGTAGTGCGCTGAGGTATATCTCAGGCTAATGTTTGACAGACACGGAAGCAGTTCTCGACGGAATTATCCCTCAATCGACGATTGAAGCCGACGGAGTGGCCGCACCGCAGTTGACTTAATCGATCGACCGTATCGCGATTCAAATTACGTGCGAACACGTGAAACACTGAAACACATGTATGGAAACGCCTCGTATTACTTTCTCTAGTGAACTACTTTCGGTTTCTAAGAACCGAATATTATCAAATATACGCGAGCTGTATTAAAGCTAGTTTCCAATTGGTGAAGACTAATTACGATTTTGTTTTATTTATACAACAAATATAGTGAATATAGTCAGGTTACGATTTTTTTAATTAACTTTAACCAAACTGCTTCTCTTATTCTTTCTAAAGTATCCCGATGATTTAGCAGAAGTCTCTCGAGAGTTTGCAATCTATCGTCCTACCTCGTACCTGCCTCAATAAAGTCATTGAATTATTAATGCAATTTGTCTTAGTTATAAATAACCAATCAAACAGGGGGGGGGAAGCTGAAATTAATCGCGGAAACCATTTATCTTTATCGTTATGATCGCGGAGATCCGTTATAGAGCGTATTTGAGAACAACTGTAACTGGTAGTCGGCTGCATCGAGCTCGAGGAATAATTCCACGTCGAAGGTCAGGGGCACTATGTTAGACCGGTTACGTTATTCCAAGTCCGTAAATGAGTCGCGTGATATTAATTACATTTTTACGGCATACCTCAGAGACATGAATTTTTGCCGAAATAATTGCGTTATTTCGTTTTTCTCAACTTCTCGCAGTCCTCTCGCAGAGGCGTATGCGCGACGCTGTATCAGCGTCACTTTTCCAAAGCAAATATTCGTCACTGATAAAATTGAGCGCACCTTAATGAAGAATAACAACTTTGTAGTACAACCGTTTTTTTTTATCGGGGGCACCGTGTGATGAGAGTGAGTCTCAAGAGTACCCGGGGGACGCGATATTCCAAATTATTGGACTTACGTAATTATACGCGATAGCAGCGACCCGTCGGCATAATTTTTTACAAGTTCACGAGCAAGTGCTCCGAAACTTTTGCGCCTGAGCGCGCGCGCGCGTGCGAGACGTCATCAGATACAAGGTTCAGGAGAGGCAGAGTTTTCCTCTAAAAACGTTAGAGTTCAAAAAAAGTCGTAAAACGTGTGAACTTTACTTTCCACGTAACAGTGGATAACGTAATACGTGATGACCTCTTCCTCGGAGCGGCGGAATAAACAGGCGATTTTTCGACACAATGGATGCGCGTCAATATGACGAAAAGCGCGCGTCGTGCTGTACGAGCACAAAGGATGCTTTATGTTTCACGCTGACTGGACAGGAGCTCGCTTCTAGGACACTTTTATATCCGTCCGCTCAACACAATGTTCCGCTATAATATGCCTAGCCTTCGGCCGGGGATCATAAAATTTAACAACATTTATTATCGATAGAATTTTTGATAGAAGGGGTAAACAAATCGGCTTCGGCAACCTACTTAACGATTTTATCGTGCCAACTCATTGTCAGTACTTTACCTACGACAGAGCACGTCGTCGAGGCGACGTCGCGCGAAATAGGAAGTTTCGAATCGATGCCATGCGACGAGAATATCGGCGATCGTAATCATTTGTAAGTTAATACGCTATGTGATAATTCGGTGCTAAGTGCGGCACGGTGATGGGCGGTAGAAGAAACGTCGATGGTAGAAAAAAAACGACTGAAACGCGCCCGACGTTCCCTTGCGATTTACATTGCTTTCGATGAACGTTGACATTTGAAGTTGTTACATGCACGTAAGCATCTGAGACACGGCGGAAATGAACCTTCTTTTATTGCACACATAAATGGCGAAAAAAATATAAGTGGCGATACACCACGATCTAAAATTTGAATATCGTCAGATCGATACTTGTAATTGCCGCAGGATCCTGCCAGGACACACGACGGAATGGGTTCAGTTCCTCGATCAATAAATGGTATTACCAAACAATCTGCTATTAGGATCTACTTTTTTATACTCTAACAAGGTTGACAGATCTTTGAAGTTTACGCGACCCCTTGATGAATCAAATGGGAAAAGCGCTTCAATGTTGTTTACGTCGAGATTAAATCTTCGCGTTGGAACATATAAATCTCAGAATTATTCACATCTCGTGATTGAAGCAGCATTAATTGGTACGTAAACAATAAGTTTGAATTCTCGTCGCTGATTTAACGGCAGATTTGTTTTCCTAACTCGTGATCTCTGCTGGACAAATTGAATTTAAGTTACTGAATAGTTTTTAAAGCGCTGAATATACCGCCTATTGCTCGCCTGACGTCGAGCGTACAAACATAAGGATGATAAGTGATAAATGAGCTTTACAGCATGTCGGGAGAAAAAGACGAAGGAGAAAAAAATTCGAGATAATGACATATAAAAATTTATTGGTAACGCATTTCGGAGAGGTCGTGAAAGTCCGTTTCCTGATAGCCTGATATTGTGACTACTCTTTGTCGTGAACTGTGACAATTATAAGATTTCGATCTTCGGTCAAGATAGCTCCCGAGCTACGTAACGCGTCTGATACATCAGCTCGAAAGGAAAAAAAGAGAAAAAGCATTCGCGAAAGTATCGTAGTCGTTCAATCGTGAGGTTCATGATGGGTTATCACTTTGGAGGGGTAAAAGTCACTTAATCTTCAAGCAGACGCTCGATTCTCGCTAGCAGCTTTTCGTTATTGGTCCATTTAATAATCGTCATGACGTTCTTTCCTGCCTTCTCTCTCTCTCTCTCTCTCTTTCTCTCTCTCTCTCTCTCTCTCTCTCTCTCTCTCTCTCTCTCTCTCTCTCTCTCTCTCTCTCTCTCTCTCTCTCTCTCTCTCTCGCTCTCACTCCGCTTTCTGTACGCATTATTATCTATCCCTCTGTTTCTATCATGTTTTTCTACCACCCTTCCACTTGTGTACACTTTTTCATATTTCTGACTATAAGTAGACCAATTCTGATGTTTGACTCTTAGAGTGCATGCCGTACTTCATGATCAATTGACGCGATTTTGTCCGTCCTAATCGACTTGGTTTCCTTTTCTTTTTGCGATCGTTACATCTTCAATTGTTTTACATCCGGCATTCTTTGTGTGAGTGTACGATTTCTCTTTTCGTGAGTACACTTTGGAAAACAAATCCTTTCGCGTGGATTTTGTAATAAGCGTGGAATCTGGGCTTTTGCAAAAATAATTGCCTTACTTGGAATTTCTGAGAAAATCCTTATTCTTGGAAAAGCGACCACAAGGTAAATGGATTGATTACTTTCGATTGTTGCAGGGAGAATATATTGAAAAGAAATGCTTTAAAAATATAACAAAATCAAGAAGCATGTATTCTTTTATATTTTTTATTTGGTGTGTTTTAAAAATTGACGTATTATTAAAAAAATAGATAGATGTTATATATCTGAATATGTATACAAATTATGAGTATTTTTTATAATCATTGTATTATATCGTTATATTATATTTTTTAATGCCTCATTTAACTGTTTAATCTATTATATGAATAAATTATTTTCTAAGATTATCAACAAACAAAAGAATTAATAACGATAATGAATTTTTCTTTCATTTTTTTTATTTCTATTGGAATAAGCTCAGTCGATCTTTCAAATAATTTAAGAGCCTTCTCCTACCTTTCTATGAATAAATTATGATTGTTCTCTTCTCGGAACCTATATTGCCTGTCGAGAGACTGTTTACTACGCGCATCCGCGGGATTTATCGCAAAGAGCAGCAAACAGTTCAAGAAGTTAAGTCCAGTAGCATCCAGTTTGGCTCATTTCTTCTGGTTTTCTCCGGATTTAACTTGCATGACAGAAAAACATAATGTTTTCACATACTATTATATAAAATATTTTTGAGGTATTTTTGTTGAAGTTTGAAAAAATGCACGAAAAAGATTTTTCATTTCTTCTACTTGCGACTTACACAGATATTGTTTTTCATCGATAGAGAGAGAGAGAGAGAGAGAGAGAGAGAGAGAGAGAGAGAGAGAGAGAGAGAGAGAGAGGATGTAAAATCATATTCATTTTAAATAACATTTCTCGTTGAAATATTTTGTCGTTAAACATATTTTTCGTGATTCTCGTAAACGTGTGTTTATGTTCCCACTCGTTTGACATTCGATAACTCCTACCGTTCGATTTATCGATTCTGAAAATAGAATCTAACGCGTTGTTAAACAAGTCTTACTTTTATGTCTCAGGAGCGCAGTGTTTTGCCCAAATATTACACGAGGGTGGGACCAGTCATCAGACCTTCGACCTCCAACTCAGGCTCTGCATTGGACTGTTCGTCGAACACCACTCTAGTGACGAACGCCAGTCCTTTCAACAGCCAGACAGCCTTAATCGCCGAAAAGAAATACTTTTCCGGTACCAGCGGTACAGGATCGAATCACTACTATGTCGAAAATCTGAAAAATAACACTCAGAAGACCCTGAACGGGTCGCGAATCTATGATCCTTTGGAGAAGGATCAGGACGCTGATTACAAACAACTCGATCCTTTACTGTCAATCGAGCAGAGCCCGGGCACCGACGACACCGACATGGATCCCCAGAACATGAAACCACCGAAGGACGTGCAGGATGTATCTATCCACCTGCCGCCCACGGAAATTCAAAAGAGCGATAAGCCATCCAAAATGCGCTACGCTACTCAAGTAAGTTCTGTATACATTAAAATGCGTATTCATTTATGGGCGGATATATCGGGTATTTGAGACCACCCGGGTCACCCGATTTTTTCGTTAATGCGACATTTTAAAGAAAAATATTTCAGACAAAAGTTATAGGGCTTCAAAGGATCTATTTACTGACGCTATGAATTTGACCTTGGGATAACCTTAAAAAGTCCAGTCAAAAAAAGATCAACATAAAAATCTTAAATGGCAATTAATTTGAACAATTTTTGTCTGAAACATTTTTTTATTTATCTAATATTTTTTAAGATATTTAAGGGAAACTTGATAACTTTTTCAATATTTAACTCACGATATCTCGCTAACTACTTATCAGAAGAAAAAGTAGTACTAGACCTTTTTGTTCTATTTAGTCTCAAGAATATATTGTTCCAATAGCGTCCTGAATTTGGTTAATTTGATGATTTTGAAATTTCCAAAAATCAGCAAGTTAACAAAAGTCAGGGCGCTATTATAAAAATATATTCTTGAGACTAAATAGAGCAAAAAAGTCTAGTCTACCACTTTTTCTTCCGACAACTAGTTAGCGAGATATCGTAAGTTAAATATTGAAAAAGTTATCAATTATTTTCCTTCAATATCTAGAAAAATATTAGGCAAATGAAAACATATTTCCTATAAATAGCCCTACAACTTTTGTCTGAAATATTTTTCTCCAAAATGTCGTGTTAACGAAAAAGTCGGGTGACCCGGGTGGTCTGAAACACCCGGTATAATCGCGGAAGGATCGCGATAATTGTCTGAGAATCATCTCCCTATTAAACGCAACTTTCAAAAGTCGAATGCTCTGGCGTGTAGTCAATATTACTTCAGAACGCGTGAATCTTACAGTGGAGTAACCGTAGCGTATGGCCCGCCAGGTCAATGCATCATCCTTCATTCCTTCAGCGAATCACAAAAGACCTACTGTGTAATATTGCAATAACACGTAAGATTGCCTCTTTACGGAAAAGACGATGATTCTCGCGTCGAATTCCGTTCGATTCAACCACCTGCGAGTTATTTGCTTTGGGAACACTTATCTCTAACGTCTCGAGCGAGATGATCTTCTCGCTCTAAGAAGATAGTGATGTTTGAGTTAATGATAATGTTTAAGTTCATTCAAGCTTCAAACTTCAAGACCCTCGCGCGTGAGCAAAGAAACAACATCCTCGCATTGCAACGAGCAATTTTGCTGTATCAATGCGCTCGGCTTAATCATAGCGCGTCATCTGTTGCGCGTATGTTACGTGATCGAAAAGATAGGGATAGGAACAATCGTGCGAGTATGAAAGAGGTACGAACGGAGAACAGATGCAAAACCCTACAAACGAAATACTGCGGCTTGCATAACGTTTGCGTTTTTCTCCTGTTGTACCTGTGTACTGACATCCGACGTTCATCATGGCCGATCATTCCATGAGCGCCGCCAGAATTTTTCTATCGCATCGCGCGCGTCAGAGTGATGATCGGCGTTACTGCTGGCCCGATCGGCTCGTATCGTTGAAGATCAAAGGCGAAGTCAACTTCGTTCTGCGCGAGAGGATTGAAAAATCGCGCGTTGCAATGACGAGAACGAATATCGGCCGACTTAAATTCACCTCGACGGTGCATCATATCGTTCGGCGCCACGAAACGGTGAACGCGCACCCGAGAGAAATCGTCCATTGTTATTAAACGCGAACAATCGCGCGCGCAAGACATTAAAAGCAAGTGTGCTTATTACCTTGCATACGTCACAGTTATTATTAAAACGACTTAATGAGCCACGATCGACGCGCGAATATTGCGTATCGACGTTAATTGCTCGGTAATAATTAAGGTGAAATGATAAGGGGTGTTCAAGTACTGTAGTACTGGATTTTGTGCTTGAACGAGAAAGATAACTTATATATTTCAATGAAAACGATCATGGGGCATTCTTGCATACAGTATACCTGCAAGAGGTATAAATTTAAAATAAAAGAAGAAATTTCTTTTGAAATGGAATATTTACAGTCTCTGATAACATCAAGATGGGAAATTCCTTGGACGATACGACACATTAAATATGTGACATATCACTTTCTTTTTCACACGCCCCCTCCCCTCTCTCTCTCCCTCCTTTTGTCTCTTTTTTTGTTTTTGTCTTCCTCTCAAGTTCCTCTCAAGCTCCGGAAGATATATTAATAATATCATTTAATATATCATGTGGAATTATTATGTGGTTAATATTATTATGTGGAAATATGTATTAAGCGTAAGAAGTGCCCTTTCATCAGCATCAGAGTGGTAAATCGCTTCGTAAAGGCACAAATAGGTTGAAGACGTATGCGTGCCTTCTATTTGTATACCGTATGTATTTATGACGATACGTCAGTATACAATCGTCATAATAATCTACGAAGGATGGGATCGGCGTGGTTGGGGAGAGGGAGGGATAGCCGGCCCCCAGCATCGTTCTCTATATAAGACGAGGACCATCCGGCACGGTGTCAATAGCTTATAGTTGTATCGCGACACCGCGAAAAGTTTCACTCGCGGCCAGTGTGCGGGCCAGGTCGTCGATCGTCGATTAAATCGAGTCGATATCGGAGTCACGATCTTTGACAATCGTTACGCGCGAACGCGTAACAAGCGGGGCTTTAATCCCGAAGAGCTCGGCTCTGGGAAAGTCAAGTTTCAACTGTTCGGTTTCTCTCACGAATCAATCGAAATCTCTTCGAGTTCGTTGCTTCGTTCGTTGCTGATCAGTACGTAATCATGAAGATTCTCCTACGAGCGGACACCCACGTTAACATCGAGCTGCCGGTGAACGCGCCGGCAGCTAAATGCACGTTTACTCAGGTAGCGTCCCAATTTAAATCTCCAGATTCATTGTACGAGTGACATATTTTCGCCACGACGAACTTTGACCTGTCGGCCAATGTTTTGCGTTTTGGCGAATGTTGAAGAGGAGAATCCTCCTTGGATAAAATTGGTTGTGCAATAGTTTGCGAGTCTTGCATCTGCTCGCGTTTAAAAGTTTGCAGATGCAACCGAAGGACGAACGTTCTTGTTTGCTTGTATTTCAGTGACTTTGCGGTGTTTCACAGCCATGCGCTTTGGTCCAAACATTGTTATACACAGAAATTTTTCTTGACAAAATGAAACCGAATTTGATGCATTATAGCGACTAACAAGTCGTTTATATTCAGATATATTCTTTAAACTTTATGATATAAAATTTTACCATACATGTACAAGAATACTGTCTTCAAAAGTTTCAGCAGAATAAACTAAAGTGACATTTTTTGAATTTAAAAAAATGATAAAATCTACCGGAGAAATTCTCTCCGTATACTGGGATGTTTTCGCAACCATTGCAAAGATAGAATTTTCCATGTGATTACAATCGTCGCAAGCTTTTTCGTATGACTTGAATGACGCAAGTCGCACAATTGATCGAATATCGATTAAATCACTGCGTTGGACTTGACTCTTTGAGTCTTCAAATAGATTACGTATAAATAATAAACAGCGATAGTACATGAAGAGAGAATTTCGTATTAATAAAAATTACAATAGAATTCTTTTACCGGGCAGATATATGTACATTTTGCCTTGATTTGTTATGTTTTTATTTCATATGTACTATTTATATTTTAAAAATTGAAGTGTGCGTTATTTATCACGTTCTTTAAGAAACTTTATTGTGTCCTTTAACAAGATAAATCCTACTGACAATCTACTCTTAAAATATTTAAAAATGTGGTAAAATTGAAGGGAATTTATATAAAAAAAAAGCTATAAATTTTCCTCCGTATAATTACGAGAAAGGGATAATATAAGGGGGAAAAAATTTCGTTCAAGGGATCAAAATTTCGCTCAAGTTTCTGCATAAATTTTAACATATCTATAATCTATTTCCAGGTGCTAGCTGCATTATCAGTATCATTAGGCTCAATGGTGATTGGTTATTCGAGTTCCTATACATCACCAGGATTGGTATCTATGCGTGATAATAGCACAGCGAGCTTCGAAGTTACTAAGCAAATGGTAAGTACAATCACCGACATTTTTATGTCATCCATCTCGTCAACTCAAAAGTCGAAATCTATTTTTGAAAATCGCAAGGACTCGACGTTTATAAGTTACGTTTATAAGTACGTGTTAATTTTCGTCGCGACGATACTGCGTTTCCTTCCGTTCTTACGAGTCGCGTTTGAGTTTTGGTGAAAAATTTCCTTTCGGACGGGAATTAACAGAATTGCCTTAGTCACTGTCAGCAGTAGGATCTCGATTGAGTTGTCAATATTACATATTTGTTAAGAACATAAAGGCTGTACAGACATATTATCCGGTAAAAATTTCCATAAACATGCCCAGATAATACATCACAATCTTGAACGTCTGACCGTGAAGCGGCGCGAGAATCCGATCCTGTCGCGTGCAGAACGCGAAGGTTACGAGATTCGTGTTTCAGGCACGTTTGTTTAAAAATCTGTCGATTACACATAAATTCCTCGCTGGTCTTCGTCTAACAATAACACAAGTACAACCTATTCCCGTTGTATCCCTTTGCGAAATTAAATGAAAGAGAAAAAAAAAAGAAAAGGAGATGCATATCGCTTGCGATAATGACGATAGCAAGATGATATAATTGATCTACACACATCCGCGAGTAATTATTAACGAGTAATTACTAATTTGACGCTACCTATAGAGTTACCAAGAAATTAATTATCAAGAATAATACCAAGAAAGTAATAATATTATAATATATATATATATATTAACGCGTTACACACGTAATATTTGTTTTATGCGCTCGTATTAATAATAAAAAAAAGAAAAGGAAGAAAACCATTCATTCAGTTTATCGGATATCGAGGGAGAGCTCGAAGGAACTGTTTACCAACGAAAAACGACACATCACCGATCGGTTCAAAGTGGTAGGCTAAAGGCAACGCGAATGACAAATAGCGTAATACGTCACTTTTAAATTATTGCGATCCCCACGAACGCGTATGAAAAAGTACGACCTTCGTTATTCGAAGAGTCAATGGATGATTAAAAAGGTTTAACCTCAAGTGCGTCATTGATGCGTGGTCAGGGGCACGATGACCTGATTACAATCTTATTGGTTGAGGAGCTGTTATGCCTCGGTGATCGCGAAGGCGATTGGTCACTCCGCCGGACACGCCGACTTCGTCGTGAGGTCCCATGACGATGTCGGAAATTGATTCCAGATATGTGCACGGCGTAAATAATGTGTTTCCGCGTGGGCCGCGCGCTCCGAGGCGGCCGACTCTTGAATAAATCGCGTTGAGACAAATATTGGAGTTGCACGTTACGTAAAGGAGATGAAATTTCTGTTCGAAATTCGATTCGGGATCTTCGATTCTGTAGACTTGTGTTCCGCGATAATCGCCGCTCGCGAAAGAAGACGTACGCTGACACCGTATTAAATTATAAAACATAAATTTTCTCTCAATACATCGCGATTATTCGTTTTATTCCGGTTATTTCGCGCAGTAGCGATTACTCGACGCTTAATGATTCAATTAAACGCGAGATCGAGATTTCGTAAGACCTTTCTGCGGTTTGATTAAAATCCACGGCACAGCTAACCGTATGAGCGCAACCAGAGGAATGATCGATGGCCGCCTTTCGCAATTATTTTCCTTGACATTCTCCGGCTTCCCGGCCTTATTTGTATTCGAAGGATCTCCCGACGAATGAAATTGTGTCAGTAGTACCAAGATGTACACAATAGCAATCTAAAAGATGATGAATATAAACGAGCGAAGGTTATGCGACGCGCATCGCTTCATGTAATCTTAATCCTTTTCTTTTCTTTTTTCTCGAATTATCGACGCCTACCAAATTACAGACGTCGGACGGTGCATCACATTCGAAGAGACACTTTTATCGAGAAATTAACATCTCACTTTAAGGGAACGCGATTGTCTTGTAACTGTCACACCTTTTGACACTGGATATTAATGCAGACCAAATTTCGCGACGATCCCCTCCATCGAACTCCTTTCAAAGACAAGTTCACTTCCAGTGATGATAATCTGTATTCTTTCGTTTAATATTATATTCTGTATTAATGTTACAGGGCATGTGGATCGGGTCACTGATGCCCCTAAGTGCACTCTTCGGTGGCATTGCTGGTGGGCCGTGCATCGAGTATCTCGGAAGAAGAAACACGATACTCGCTACGGCGCTCCCATTCATCGGATGTAAGTTTCAAAGCATGTGCAGCGATGCGCTTGCAACGATTGCAAATTAACACCACACTCTGCCACTGTGTGTGTGTGTGTGCGTGTGCGTGTGAATCATTAACGAGTAGCAAGATTAATAAATAAATTAATAAACCGTACGATTCGTTTATTGCAGCGTGGCTCTTAATCGCACTGGCTCAGAACGTCGCGATGGTGTTAGTCGGGCGCGCATTGTGCGGGTTTAGCGTGGGTGTTGCTTCCTTATCTCTACCCGTGTACTTGGGCGAAACGATACAGACAGAAGTGCGTGGTACACTTGGCTTGATGCCCACCGCCTTTGGTAATGCCGGTAAGTATAACGAAAGATCCAAGTGCCCATCCGGACGCGAGCGCTCGCGGACATCCTTCGGCGTTTACACGAAGAGAATTTTGCGGCGGAAGTTATCGTGGAGTTTTCTCGACCGAGGAGAACGCCATCAATGTTATGTCTTGATTTATCATTTTTCCGTTTCATAATAAGCTATGTTATATATTTGTAATTTAGGCCTGCCTATTATTTACATGTATGGTCTACTGTTAAAAAATTTACCGCGTTTTTTAGCAAAAGAGAAATTCTACCAGTCTATCTCTATATTACTAGAAAAAGACAGTAAAATTGAAAATAATTTATAAGAAAAAAAGAAAGAAGAAAATATGATTATAATATTCTCTCCATACCACCGCGTTTCCTTGTGAGCAAAAATCAAGATAAATTGACAAGTACATTTCACGTGTGACGCAGGAATATTAATATGCTTCACGGCGGGCATGTATCTGGATTGGAGAAACCTGGCGCTGGTGGGCGCGAGTCTGCCTATACCGTTCCTGATTCTCATGTTTCTGATCCCGGAGACCCCGAGATGGTACATTTCGAAAGGAAAGACGAAGAAATCGCGAAAATCTCTTCAATGGCTGCGCGGCAAGGACACCGATATAACCGAGGAGCTGACCATGATCGAGAAGATGCACGTCGAGAGCGAACGGAACGCTTCTCAGGGAACGATCTCAGAGTTGCTGAAGAGTAACAATCTGAAACCGCTGCTCGTCTCCCTGGGGCTGATGTTGTTCCAACAGATGTCGGGCATCAACGCGGTGATATTTTACACGGTGCAAATTTTCCAGGCATGTACCAATCGATTGATCTAACGTTCCCCAATCTTTCATCATCCTTGCGTTTTAAGATTACGACAGTCTTCGTGTTTAAATAACCGCAAGCCTCATCATCATCATTGATCATTCGGATCAACAGATCATAAAGATGGGACAATCGATTATTGAACGTCTGTTCTCATATAAGTGCAGAAGTCAATTCTCTAAATTGGCCTTTGAGACGCTTCCGACGCTTGATGGCACTTAATTAACGAAAAATGTCTTCTCGATTCCAGGACGCCGGTAGCACGATCGATGAGAACCTCTCGACCATTATTATTGGTATCGTGAACTTCATATCCACCTTCGTCGCCGCGTTCTTGATCGACAAGCTGGGCAGGAAGATGTTGCTGTACGTAAGCGGGGTGTCGATGGCTCTGACGCTCTTCTCCCTCGGAGGATTCTTCTACGTCAAGTCATACGGTGTCGACGTGACGGCCTTTGGTTGGCTGCCGTTGGTCAGTCTAATCGTGTACGTGATAGGCTTTTCGATGGGCTTCGGTCCGATACCCTGGCTGATGATGGGCGAGATCTTGCCGGCCAAGATCCGTGGCTCGGCCGCTAGTATCGCGACCGGCTTTAATTGGATGTGCACTTTCATCGTGACGAAGACTTTCGAGGACGTCATAGCGATGATCGGCGCGCACGGCACCTTCTGGCTGTTCGGTGCTATCGTCGTGGTGGGTTTCATCTTCGTGATCGTTAGCGTGCCGGAGACGCGCGGCAGGTCGCTCGAAGAGATCGAGAAGAGGTTTAACGGACCGACTAGAAGAATGAGCGCAGTCGCGAACATGAAGCCGATGCCGATGGCCTGCTAGCTGCCGAACTCAACCGACGTTCAGTCGCGATTTTCATCGACGAGGAAGTTTGTCCGAGCAAGAAGAAGCAGGACTGACGGTGGCACTCTAAGGGAGAGAATCCCCTTTACAGATAAAGCTTTGCTTGAAGTGAGGTTCGAAGGTCAAGTTCGAAGGTATGCTTCTCCTACCTTGCAAAGTTGAATCTGTTCGCTCTCTTTTTTTTCTCCTCCGCTCTTCCTATTTTACTTTCGTTTTCGAAACTTTCGGTCTACTCTTGCGCGCGTCCTGCTAATCACGAGGAATTCGGCCGAAAACGATCCGAAGGTAATCGATAAAAAACAAAATAGTTTCTGATGTACGAAAGCAGACGAGAAAAAGCATTTCTTATAAAAAAAAAAAAAAAAAAAAAAAAAAAAAAAAAGAAATTCATACTTCCGTTAATTACTTATCGAGTTGAGAAGAGGCGAGTGAATGAAGGAATCATTCTTGATTGACTTGATTGATGTTAGCTCGCGAATGTTTTTGTGCAATATTGGATAACGCTGTGTCCGCCGATTAATAATTTCTTTGCAATACTTTGTGCAATAATCACTCGGAATATTGAGAAACGTATTATTGTAAAGATTAATTTTACTTAAAATCAGGGTAAGAAATCTTCGGAGAAATTTAATCTCAACGAAACGTTCGTTACATATGTAAATGAATCGATCGTATATTCCAATCGATGATCTTATATTGAAAATATGAAATATTGCCTTCGTTCGTTTGCCTCTTCGATATCCATGAAATTCAAATAGAAATTGTTTTGGATGACTCTAGTAACGCGCAAGGATCACAGTAAACGACAGCGACGAACGTCTTATCAAGAACTTAAATTGCAAGCTGGAGGGGATAATCTGAATACGAATGTTAAGGTTAATTAATTAGATTTGCGAGTACGAAAACGTGTTCTGTTTTTCTGCCGGGAAAATGGTACGATAAGTGAGTATCAGCTGTTGACTAGGTATATAGTTGTGCTTGTTTTTATTACTCGACACTTCTACAGGGTCTACCTCAAGTTAATGCTACTACTGCGTGCCGTTGGATGCGTTAAGAATGTAAAAAAAGAAAAAAAAAACTGCGCGTTTCTTCCTTTAAGGTGCACGTAAAATAACGCGATTTGTATGAGGCTGTGGTATCGCGTAGTTTTGTGTGAAATTTCGAAACGCAAGTGCTGCTTTAAGGAGAGAATGTTCGCTGTGTCATCGTACTTCCATAGAGATACGTAGCGTTGCTAAATCTAGCGTCTATCGTATCGAATGGAAAATGCGAAATAGTGCGAAGCAACGTAAAGAGGTACGAAAGTGTCGCGCCGACGCGTTCGCGCTGTGAGAAACGCACCTGCGCTTTGCAGTTTGCAAATTGTAGTCACAATAATGCGATCTCTTTCGTGGAAGAGAATCGTTGAGAGAGAAATTCGACACGGCCATCGTTTTCGTGGCGCGAACACTCGCGGATTAATCGCACTTTGTAAATTAAAAAATACGTGTAACATGTACTTATGTATATACACCGATCGAGAAACCGGTCTTTCGAATAGGGACGAACTTTTCGCGCGACAATAAGCTTTAAAATCAATCGCGTCCCTTCACGTCCCCTTCAAGATAGAGCCATTAATTTGTAAATAGTCAGAGTACTCGATAGATAAATAATAAGTATCCTATACTATATATTCACGTCCGAAAATCGACAAGTCAAGTCGATTATCGAGTGATATATTAGCAAATATATGTTTTTATTCTCCAAAACGATGAGTTTAGAAAAATAGTAACGTAGTCGTAATGGAAATAAGGTCTGAGGAAATTATTGTTAGAAAATTATCTGAGCAAATTAGCATAAGAGGAGAAAATCACCTGAACAAATGTATATCATGTTTTCCAAATTCGTGAAGTGCTCTCGGTCAAATTATCTGATCGCTGATAATTCTAAATATTAATAAGAATTAATTTGTATTACTTAAGCAAAAGTAAAAGTAACTTATATATTTATTAAAACAAAAATATATATATGTCTACAAAAAGAGTATACAAAAATGAGTATACAGAAATCAATTAAAAAAATTCTCAATATTACACAGTAACGTGTAACAAAATTAAAAAATTGAGGCGAATGAAAGATAATATTGAAGAATCTAATCCTGTAAAGAAGAAAATGAAAATTGTTTCGAGTAGAAACAATTATCTGCAGAAAGATTTAATGAAAAAGAAATTTATAAGACGTTAACTAAGATCTTTGTGATATCCCTTTAAGGTTTCTTTATATAGATTACTTAATGAAGATCTATGGGTGAAGTCAAATAGAATAAACCTAACATATCATCTTGCTCCATTGCACATTTAACCATTTGATTCACTGCATTTGACCAAGTATACTCATAATGTGTCAACATAGTTAATGTAAATCTCAGCATATCATAAATAATAATTGATGGAAATATTAGAAACTACAAAGATGTTAAAATTATTGTGAGCATTTGTTTATATAAGATGGTCAAAATGTGCTTGTAGCTGTGTGTTTAAATCAAATATGAAGAATTCCATTAGCAGAGAACCTCTCATTTATACATAGAAACTTTCTTATAATTTTCTTTTGTTCATTAAATAATGCCATGATAACAGACATTGTAGTGCGCAAGATCTTATTCTAGAATAGTAAAAACACTTCTCGAACAAAAAAGATCATTCCTGCGATTTAATATATGACTCGATTTAATATTATGTAAAGCAATAAGCCTTAATTGATGTCCTGTTTTATATAAAAGTTGGACATATTAATGTTCTCTTTTGTACAACGGCTAATCATGGCATTTTACTTCTGCTATTTTCCTCTTACTTGTCGCTATACATACAAGCAGTAATACCATTTATTTATAAGGTATTTGCCAAAGCACAATGAAGATGGCGGAATATTTTTGATAATTTAATACTCATGTTAAGTTTATACGTAATTTATAAGTTATTATGTCATTACATCTAAGACTATCGATATATAAAATGATATATTTACATAAAATTGTTGCTTCCTCCCTTTTATATCTTCCTCCCTTGTTACTTTTACATTATATCACTAGCATTTAAAATAATATTTGGACAACATATTATATGGACAATGAATAAGTACAAGTAGTCATACATACTAGTAAGCACAAAGTCTATGGATCATGATAAAAGTACTACAATGTGGAAAATATAAGACAATATTATATATATATATATATATACAGAATGTCAAATATCTCTCATGATTATAAAATCCCAAGAAACTTAATTCTTACTTTTAATAATGTATGCTATGATATTTTGTTTCATTGTCAGGATTTAACTTGTGCCATTTCAACTTCTATTTGATAATGTCTATACAATATCATATATTCAAAACAATTGTATTATTGTCATATAAACAAAGTAGTAGATGTAACAAGTAATCTAATATTCTTTACATACTTTGCACATTATTGGCAAAAGTATAGCTATATTCAAACTTATATAAAATAATTAATGAAAAAAATGCTTAGTCATACTTTACTTTATAAACAACGTATTTGAACCAGCATGAGACAACATATAAGATGTTCAAATTGAACATGTTTTCAAGCAGATAAAAAAAATTAAATTTTACTGCATATTAACATGGCAATTGTGGCCTACGTTACAAATAAATGTTGATCGTACTTTTTATCGCACGACAAAAAGATTTTTTCTTTTTTCTCTTTCTTCACAAACGAGGTAAAGAAAAATCAGTAAGAATATTAACAAATAAGTAACTCACCCATAACCTGGACTCTGCAAATAGCACAGGTATCACACTCAACGTCCCAGCTCCACATAGCCACGGCATTCCATTTCTTTAACGTAAACATTTTATCGCTTTTCTGATTGTCGCCGTCATTTCGGTCTCCCACATCTTGATCGTTGTCAGCCATGATTGAGGTTAAAAACAACAATAAAGTGTGTAAAACACGAGATGAGGTTAAGTCACGGTTTCATCAAAACACACAATCTTGCAAACGGTTCAAAACTGCGAGAGCCATCGATATTACAATGACCGAAGTATATCGATGTTTTACCTCGGTGAAACGTTACCGACGAGAAAATTAAAGCAGAGAGGAATGTGAGAGCGGCCAAAACGGCGTTTTCGGCGACACCGACTTTCCGTACTGGCAAAGGACGCCATCTGCATACATTTCGAGAGGGGAACTACGATGCTACATCCACTCTTAGGTCTCGACGGTAAAACCTGCATCTGGTGGCTGTCCGTGCTACATCCACTTTCAGGCGGTTTATGTCCGTGCTACAAACATAATAGCGTACTTGACAAGCACGGTCTCGCACATTGTTATGCATTTGTAACATGAATTAACATGTTAACATGCACAAAAAAAATAAAAATTGAGATTGTATATGATTAATATCATGAAGATTATATACGATTTATATCGATATATAAATATATGATAATAAGATAATATTTTGTGTGTACCCAAAATTATTTTTCCAAAATATTTCAGCGCTGCGTTAGTATTTATTCATACTCCGGCAGGCGTTTTTTTAGCGCAGTTGTATCCGTGTGCATGTGTTGCATTGAAAGTGTGCGTGACGTACGTGTGCATGCACGCACTCACACGCCCTCACACACACACACTCACACACACGTGTCATACACAACAGATAGAATCTCAGGGTATATGTTAGGGTAGGTAGGATAGGGTAGGGAGTAGAGAGTCACCATTTACGGCAAAATGTAGGGTTTTGAGAGGACTTTAATTTGGTGCCAGAACCAGGCCTGTATCTCTAACAGTTTAGGAGATATCGAAGATTAAAGTTTTCCAACCTTTCTCCGTTGATATCTCCGCTTCTACTGGGAGTAGAGAGTCGCCATTTACGGCAAAATGTAGGGTTTTGAAAGGGCTATAATTTGGTACCAGTCCGAAGCCTGTATCTCTAACCGTTTAGGAGATATCGAAAGTTAAAGTTTTCCAACCTTTCTCCGTCGATATCTCCGCTTCTACTGGGAGTAGAGAGTCGTACATGAAGTCCAAAATGTACGGTTTTGAAAGGGTTTTAATTTGGTACTAGGCCGAAGACTATATCTCTAACAGTTTAGGAGATATCGAAGGGTAAAGGTTTCCAGCCTTTCTCTATCGATATCCAGCCTTCATCCGTCCATATCTCCGCTTCTACTGGGAGTAGAGAGTCGTCCATGTAGTCCAAACTGTAGGGTTTTGAAAGGGCTTTAATTTGATACCAGTCCGAAGCCTGTATCTCTAACCGTTTAGGAGATATCGAAGGTTAAAGTTTTCCAGCCTTTCTCCATCGATATCCAGCCTTCATCCGTCGATATCTCCGCTTCTACTGGGAGTAGAGAGTCGTCCATGTAGTCCAAAAGGTAAGGTTTTGAAAGGGCTTTAATTTGGTACCTGTCCGAAGCCTGTATCTCTAACCGTTTAGGAGATATCGAAAGTTAAAGTTTTCCAACCTTTCTCCGTCGATATCCAGCCTTCATCCGTCGATATCTCCGCTTCTATTGGGAGTAGAGGGTCGTACATGTAGTCCAAAATGTAGGGTTTTGAAAGGGCTTTAATTTGGTACTTGTCCGAAGCCTGTATCTCTAACCGTTTAGGAGATATCGAAGGTTAAAGTTTTCCAACCTTTCTCCGTCGATATCTCCGCTTCTACTGGGAGTAGAGTGTCGTCCATGTAGTCCAAAATGTAGGGTTTTGAAAGGGCTTTAATTTGGTACCAGTCCGAAGCCTGTATCTCTAACCGTTTAGGAGATATCGAAGGTTAAAGTTTTCCAACCTTTCTCCGTCGATATCCAGCCTTCATCCGTCGATATCTCCGCTTCTATTGGGAGTAGAGGGTCGTCCATGTAGTCCAAAATGTAGCGTTTTGAAAGGGCTTTAATTTGGTACCTGTCCGAAGCCTGTATCTCTAACCGTTTAGGAGATATCGAAGGTTAAAGTTTTCCAACCTTTCTCCGTCGATATCTCCGCTTCTACTGGGAGTAGAGAGTCGTCCATGTAGTCCAAAATGTATGGTTTTGAAAGGGCTTTAATTTGGTACCTGTCCGAAGCCTGTATCTCTAACCGTTTAGGAGATATCGAAGGTTAAAGTTTTCTAACCTTTCTCCGTCGATATCCAGCCTTCATCCGTCGATATCTCCGCTTCTATTGGGAGTAGAGGGTCGTCATTGTAGTCCAAAATGTAGGGTTTTGAAAGGGCTTTAATTTGGTACCTGTCCGAAGCCTGTATCTCTAACCGTTTAGGAGATATCGAAGGTTAAAGTTTTCTAACCTTTCTCCGTCGATATCCAGCCTTCATCCGTCGATATCTACGCTTCTATTGGGAGTAGAGGGTCGTCATTGTAGTCCAAAATGTAGGGTTTTGAAAGGTCTTTAATTTGGTACCTGTCCGAAGCCTGTATCTCTAACCGTTTAGGAGATATCGAAGGTTAAAGTTTTCTAACCTTTCTCCGTCGATATCTAGCCTTCATTCGTCGATATCTCCGCTTCTATTGGGAGTAGAGGGTCGTCCATGTAGTCCAAAATGTAGGGTTTTGAAAGGGCTTTAATTTGGTACCTGTCCGAAGCCTGTATCTCTAACCGTTTAGGAGATATCGAAGGTTAAAGTTTTCTAACCTTTCTCCGTCGATATCCAGCCTTCATCCGTCGATATCTCCGCTTCTATTGGGAGTAGAGGGTCGTCATTGTAGTCCAAAATGTAGGGTTTTGAAAGGGCTTTAATTTGGTACCTGTCCGAAGCCTGTATCTCTAACCGTTTAGGAGATATCGAAGGTTAAAGTTTTCTAACCTTTCTCCGTCGATATCCAGCCTTCATCCGTCGATATCTCCGCTTCTATTGGGAGTAGAGGGTCGTCATTGTAGTCCAAAATGTAGGGTTTTGAAAGGGCTTTAATTTGGTACCTGTCCGAAGCCTGTATCTCTAACCGTTTAGGAGATATCGAAGGTTAAAATTTTCTAACCTTTCTCCGTCGATATCCAGCCTTCATCCGTCGATATCTCCGCTTCTATTGGGAGTAGATGGTCGTCATTGTAGTCCAAAATGTAGGGTTTTGAAAGGGCTTTAATTTGGTACCTGTCCGAAGCCTGTATCTCTAACCGTTTAGGAGATATCGAAGGTTAAAGTTTTCTAACCTTTCTCCGTCGATATCCAGCCTTCATCCGTCGATTTCTCCGCTTCTATTGGGAGTAGAGGGTCGTCATTGTAGTCCAAAATGTAGGGTTTTGAAAGGGCTTTAATTTGGTACCTGTCCGAAGCCTGTATCTCTAACCGTTTAGGAGATATCGAAGGTTAAAGTTTTCTAACCTTTCTCCGTCGATATCCAGCCTTCATTCGTCGATATCTCCGCTTCTATTGGGAGTAGAGGGTCGTACATGTAGTCCAAAATGTAGGGTTTTGAAAGGGCTTTAATTTGGTACCTGTCCGAAGCCTGTATCTCTAACCGTTTAGGAGATATCGAAGGTTAAAGTTTTCCAACCTTTCTCCGTCGATATCTCCGCTTCTACTGGGAGTAGAGAGTCGTCCATGTAGTCCAAAATGTAGGGTTTTGAAAGGGCTTTAATTTGGTACCTGTCCGAAGACTGTATCTCTAACCGTTTAGGAGATATCGAAGGTTAAAGTTTTCTAACCTTTTTCCGTCGATATCCAGCCTTCATTCGTCGATATCTCCGCTTCTATTGGGAGTAGAGGGTCGTCCATGTAGTCCAAAATGTAGGGTTTTGAAAGGGCTTTAATTTGGTACCTGTCCGAAGCCTGTATCTCTAACCGTTTAGGAGATATCGAAGGTTAAAGTTTTCTAACCTTTCTCCGTCGATATCCAGCCTTCATCCGTCGATATCTCCGCTTCTATTGGGAGCAGAGGGTCGTCATTGTAGTCCAAAATGTAGGGTTTTGAAAGGGCTTTAATTTGGTACCTGTCCGAAGCCTGTATCTCTAACCGTTTAGGAGATATCGAAGGTTAAAGTTTTCTAACCTTTTTCCGTCGATATCCAGCCTTCATTCGTCGATATCTCCGCTTCTATTGGGAGTAGAGGGTCGTCCATGTAGTCCAAAATGTAGGGTTTTGAAAGGGCTTTAATTTGGTACCTGTCCGAAGCCTGTATCTCTAACCGTTTAGGAGATATCGAAGGTTAAAGTTTTCTAACCTTTTTCCGTCGATATCCAGCCTTCATTCGTCGATATCTCCGCTTCTATTGGGAGTAGAGGGTCGTCCATGTAGTCCAAAATGTAGGGTTTTGAAAGGGCTTTAATTTGGTACCTGTCCGAAGCCTGTATCTCTAACCGTTTAGGAGATATCGAAGGTTAAAGTTTTCCAACCTTTCTCCGTCGATATTTCCGCTTCTATGGGAGTAGAGGGTCGTCCATGTAGTCCAAAATGTAGGGTTTTGAAAGGGCTTTAATTTGGTACCTGTCCGAAGCCTGTATCTCTAACCGTTTAGGAGATATCGAAGGTTAAAGTTTTCTAACCTTTTTCCGTCGATATCCAGCCTTCATTCGTCGATATCTCCGCTTCTATTGGGAGTAGAGGGTCGTCCATGTAGTCCAAAATGTAGGGTTTTGAAAGGGCTTTAATTTGGTACCTGTCCGAAGCCTGTATCTCTAACCGTTTAGGAGATATCGAAGGTTAAAGTTTTCTAACCTTTCTCCGTCGATATCCAGCCTTCATCCGTCGATATCTCCGCTTCTATTGGGAGTAGAGGGTCGTCATTGTAGTCCAAAATGTAGGGTTTTGAAAGGGCTTTAATTTGGTACCTGTCCGAAGCCTGTATCTCTAACCGTTTAGGAGATATCGAAGGTTAAAGTTTTCTAACCTTTCTCCGTCGATATCCAGCCTTCATCCGTCGATATCTCCGCTTCTATTGGGAGTAGAGGGTCGTCATTGTAGTCCAAAATGTAGGGTTTTGAAAGGGCTTTAATTTGGTACCTGTCCGAAGCCTGTATCTCTAACCGTTTAGGAGATATCGAAGGTTAAAGTTTTCTAACCTTTCTCCGTCATTCCCCTTCACGTCGATATCTCCGCTTCTATTGGGAGTAGAGGGTCG